ATTTATTCAACGGTTCTATAACAGAATTGTTGAATAATATCATTTAAATTGACTTTTCATTCTCATGAAGCCGTTACCCTTCAGATGCTCAAAACTTCATTTCTCTCTACCAAATCAAATACCTACTGTCGAATCTCCTTCCCCAAGCATCGAGTCCACATTTTTAGCTAAACCCTTCCACATTCTGCTGTTGGAACACAGTCACTTGCCTTCATTACCATTTTGTCTTCTGTTTTGTGGTGTGCGAACACGTAAGTGCTCTACATTCTGCTCCTCTTCCTCTTCATCTTCCTCTTCCCTCTTCCTCTTCCTCTCCTCTTTCTCTTCCTAACTTCATCTTCTTCTTCCATTCCAGTTGCTAGGTTCATGGTTCATCTCCATTCAACTGTGGTTACGTTTGTGGGTTACATTGGCAAAATGAAAAAAAGGTTAGTTTTTTAAAAAATTGTATAAAATTTGAGTATTTTATTTGAACATAGATTGAATGGGTTATGATTATTTAAAGTAGAGATGATTTCATATACAATGTGCTTGAATTTTGGTTGAACAAAAATACTCTGTGTCTACTGCCAATTGTTAAATGTGATTGATTGAGTGATTTTTAATATGAATTTGTTGTTATTTTAATGTTCAATTTGTTAAAAAAGGTAGTAAGCTTGAGAAATGCTTAGTTTTATGTCATTATGCTGCTGAATTTTTTTAAAAATTTTTGTCTTGCAAATATGACCATTGTTAAAGTTGTTTTACGGTCTGGAGGGAGTTTAATTATACTTCTATCTGTTTCTTGAATTAGTTTAAAATTTTATAGGTTAAAATAGTGTAAAGAAAGGGCACAATGCCTGGAAAATACTCATTTGAAATTGGTATACTGCTGATTTTTTTTAATTTTAATTTTTTTTCTAGAAAAGAACAAATATAAGCGTAGTTAAAATTTTTGAAGTAATTAAACTCGTGACTCACTGAATGCTTTCCTATCTTTATCATCTTTCTTAAATAAGGGCATTATGGATAAGGAGTGGATGTCTGCTAATCGCCTATCTAAAGAATATTAGGATGTGGTGGCAGAATTTGTTAAGTTTGCGGTAAACAATACAAAAAATCATGAGTAAATTGTTTATCCTTGTTTAAGTTGTGGCAATGTGAAGTTAGTTTCTCCTAAGACATGCGAACTTCACTTGTTTAAGTATGAAATTTATCAAAGTTATAAGTGTTAGGTAAAGCAGGGGGAGACACCTAAAGATGTGAATAATATAGCTGAGGGTATATGAAAAGTTGTTCATCACCACTATCTTTTGACACAAATGCAAATGAGACTGATTGTCTTGAAGAATTGGTCGATGCGATGGAAGAGGAACTCGAGAATTTTCCAGAGAAGTTAGAAAGGTTGAAAATTGATGCACTAGAGGCTATAAAAGCATTCACTACTAAGTGGAAAAGGGAAAAGGATAAGAAGAGCTTTGACAAATCCAAGGAGTCCATCACATTTCCCTAGAAGACTAGTTCTCCCTCGAGCCCATCTGCCTAAAGCCCTTTATCCTCAAGCCTTTAAAAGTCAAGTTGCACCCAAAAAAATCGGCAATTGCTTACGACCTATGCCAAGATGCAAGAAGGAGTGTTGCTCCCTTTTCCTACGGACATGTATACTGATCCACAGTCTTTTGACCAAGTCAATAATGAGGTGTTGGATGATTTATTCAATTATGGAGAGGCTACCAATACCCTATGTAACTTATATATAAGGTATGTTTCTGAAACCTTTTTTTAAACATTTAGCTATATATACACACATACACACACTTTAATCATATATTGTTCTATTTATTTTGACATTTAAGGAACCTCTACGCTACCATACTTATTGGAAGAGATATAGCATGGAGGATTATATTTGTTAGTCCTCGTATGGTCTCTCCTTATGGCCATGACATAATGAGTCCTAAGCAAGGACTGGAAATATCTCAATAGCTTTCAAATTACTTCTAGCAATGTGGTGTCGACAAGAACACAATATTCATAGCATCTTATTGTGAAGGGCAAGTTACTTTACGATGCTTCACTTTAATTTATTCAATATTTAATTATTTATATGATACTTTCTAATTGTAATTTTTGTCATAGGGATATTAGATGTTGCTTGCGATCAATCCAACTTTACGGAGGGTATGGTACCTTGACCCTATTCGGAGTGGCCATCCCTCTAACAAACCACATATTGTGAAAATGATTAATCAGTAAGTTGATTAATTTATTTGTATATATGTAATTTGTTCTTTTTGTATGAATATTTCTCATGTCAAGTTTCCTATTTCACTTTAGGGCCATTGTCATGTATTGCATTGATGTTGATCAACAATTTCGACAACTAGTAAAGGGTAGTGGTCATTTTGATATAGTAGCATCATGGACAGTTGTCAAGGTATATGTATTAATTATGTTAGAAACAACACTGTATAGGTCATGTCATATTATTAATTAATTATTCGGTTATTTTATCCATTGTACGATTGTAATGCCCAGAGCAAGCAGACAAAGTCAGGAATTGTGGGTATGTTGTCATGAAATTCATAAAGGATATAATCCAACATGCTCCAGTTGAAATTCTTTTGAATGATGTAATTGTCTTCCTATTCATTAATATTTTATTAGTTTTTATCAATAAACATGATTTTAATTTTTTGTTATTGTTGTTGTTGTATATAGTACTATGAGGACACATATTGTGACACGTATACTCATACTCAAATGGAAGAAGTTCTTAAAGAGTTAGCACATGGTATTTTTGAAGCATAGTTTACTTTCAAAGCCAGCAGTAGTGATAGTTAGGAAACTTAAGCAAATTTTGAAATTTGAAGCTTTAAGTTTTAGCCACTAATTGCTTTAATTTAAGCACTTCAAGTTGTATATAAGTTTTTTTATAGGAATTCATTGTACATTTATATGTATATACATAACTATTATTGGCTGAAATTTGTGTCTGGGTGTTGGAACATCGTTTTGTAATTTACCAGGGGGATTGCTAGAAATGCAGGGGTAGACAATGGAAAAAATGAGGTCATAATATTCAACAGTTATGAGAGAAAACCGTTGAATGTGATCACAAAACTATTCAGCGGTTTCATCACATAACCGCTGAATAAGTATATATATTCAATGGTTCTTAGTGAATAACCATTGAATAATAGAAAATATTCAGCAATTTTTAGTCTAGAACTATTGAATATTATCTCTCAGAATTTCTCATTTTCAAATTCCAAAAATTTATGCAATAGTTTTGAAATAAAAACTGTTGAATAAATGAAAAATATTTAACGGTTAAAAATCGTTGAATAAATGATTATAAAATATTCAGCGCCAGCTTACCAACGATTTATAACCGTTAAAGAGTAAGGAAAATAATTGTTTTATATTTCTTTTTTTGTAGCAGTGGCTTTTAGGTTTCAAAATGCATAAGAGGTTTTTTGAAAGTGGGTAAGTTTTAGGAAATGGAGGGCTTACTTTCAAAAAACAGAGAATGCTTTCAAAGGTATGACACTTTCGAAAGTGAGGATTGGAGTACAAATTCGAAAGTGACGAGTTAGTAGAGAATATCAGCAAAAAACAAAAATGCTCGGGCTTTCAAAGCACATGAATATTGAATCAAAACAAGTAGAACATGATTCTTGATATTCATGCAAAGGAATATGAGTGGTCAAGATGAAATTTGTCCTTCACATTAAGTAAGAGATATTACACAGCCCCTCGATGAGTAAGACTAAGAAAATATATGGCCAAACTATAATGAAAAAGGTTTTTCCATTGTTACAGTCAGTGCACTTAGAAATAGAGAAAGTAATGGTCAGATAAAGGAGAATAACAATTTCATGCCTCACACTTGACCGAAATATCACATGACAAAAGGGATGTGATACGGTTGCACGATAAGTTCATCAGATCATCGATCTCCATGTAAATTAGGTAATTGCAATGTTTTGTTAGGGACCACTTGTGACTTGTGGGCTAATAGCGTAATTAGCTTACTGCCAACTTTATATGAGCCTACAGGGTCGTATATAAAAACAGCCCAACTCGAGCTCTAATGTCCAAGTTCATTGAATTTGAAATATGTCTAGATTCAATAAATGATATATGATGAATAAATTATATATATATATATATATATATTTGAATATTTATTTGATATATATATATATTTATATGAAATATAAAATTAAAATATAATTATATATATATATATATATATATTCATATGTGTGTGTGTCTAATATTATATTATATTATATTATGTTAGTTTTAAATTTAATTTTATATTATAGATTAAATTTAATAAATAACATAAGAGAATATCATGTCAATTTTATAATTTGAATTCAAATTAAACATAATATCATGAAATAAATTTAATTATATTTTCATGGACTCTTTAAATAGTAGGTGAAAATCCTAATCTATATACTATATATAGACAGAGACGTGCGTTAGAAAGAGTGAGAGTTAAAAAATTCTGATAGCCAAACACTTTGAAAGTTATAAAACATCCTAGAGAAAGAAAAACTAACATTTAAAGAAAAACAGACGTTAGAAACGCTAGCACGCTATACAAGTTATAGAGCTGCTCGTGTGAATTTTAATAGAGAGAATAAATCTATATTGTCAGTTCTTGAAATCTAAATTTTTAAAGAGAACACGCGTCAAGTTTGAAAATTTAAAAGATAACTCTTCTATTCACTTTGACTTAAACAAGTTCATTTAGTCCATATCAGGATAAGGATTTTAAAATTTTAATCTTTCGCTGCACCTTCCTATTCAATAGTTGATTTTATAAATTACATGACGTCATTGTATTATATCATCAACCAAACTTTTAAGCATATTATTAACTAAAGAGACTTATTCAACAACTTCAATAAGTGTTTATGTACACATAGAAGGGCTCAAATATGATCGTTCCTACAAATTTGATCGGTACAGAATAAGAATTTAGAATTCATAAACTCCAGAAATGCTAGCAAAGAATGTGACAATTATTATAAATGCGAAAATAATCCTCTGTTCAGGCATCCAGTCACCCTGTTCCAGAGGAAATATGATGAAGAGCAAAAAGCAAAGCTTTACTTAATAATCAGCAAACACAACAACAACGCAGAAATAATAAGGAAGACATGGCAAAGCAAGACTAATTGGATCCTATATACAACATAGCATAAAATATTGCGCGTATTCCAGCTTTTCTTGAAATTATTGACCATTAATGAGAAAGCTTGTAAAATATGATTATGACTACAGCAAGAACAAGAGCTCCTATTAGAGAGCCAACAACCCATTTGTTCCGAGAAATTCTCCGTGACATAGAAGACAAAACCTTTTTACTCTTGTCAATGGCATCATCTATCCCAAAAAGCTGCAACACAGAAAATTAACCATCAATCTACAATTAATATCGCTCTGCATAGCACTCATTGTGCAGTAGGTTTACAGATCCTAAGAATGTGTTAAATGGCCTCATTTCCCAGTCAACTCCTTTGATATTTTAAATAAGATGGAATGAAATACTATAAGGTATCATTTGTATTAATGGATTTGCATTAGAATTTTATACTTGAAATATTAAATTTCAAATCTCATATTTAAAATCCATAAATTTAAAATCCTTTATTTAGATAGTTTAAAAATTTTAAATAAAGAAGATAGATAAGTTAAGATTCAAAACAAAAATTGAAAATTGAAGAAGACAAGTTTATATCTATTTTTTAATCGACAAGAGACGAAAATGAGAGATGAAAATGATACAAGAGTTATATAGAAGTATCAGTAGTAAAAATGTGAAAAGAATAATATGTTTAAAGTGGTTGGAATTTCAAATGACTAGAGTATAGATAAAATTTGAAATTACAAAAAAAAAAAATGCAATCAGAAATGGATTTGAATTAAATTCAAATTCTTAAAATTTTGTATATTCAAATGAAAAATCTGGACCAAATCTAAATCCCCATTAATTCAAAGGCAGCATAAGACTATATGCTATTTGAGATACCTGTGTTTAATAAGATAATTGATGGCAGTTAAAATTCCAAGGGATGTAATGAATTAATCACTGTGTATACTTAAATTGCGAAATTAATCATTTATGAAAGTTTTATTACACCTATCCTGGAATGTGGTTCCAACGTGGCATTAAATTAGGCATCCAAGATATAATGATAAGAGAACCGACTGGACTAAGACACTAGTGTACCAAACTCTCTCCGCAGAGTATACAAATTAGGCAGATTTGATTATTGAAAATGTAAGGAGCTCCCAATGACCCAAGGGGACCTCATGATTCAGACCTAATAAATGAAAGTAAAACTGGAAAATATAACCTTCGCCCAAGGGCAACACCCTTTAGTAGAATAGCACTGGCTGATAAACATACCTTCTGATGGGAGCTTAGGAGAGTCTCACGCTGCTGGTGTAAATCTTCAAGGATCGAAACACCAAGATGTTCAGTCTCCAGCATGACTCTTCGACTCTCCCTAATTCGGTCACTTGATTCATTTATTCTTTCTATGGACATAGTTAACCTTTCCCTCTGATCAGCAGAGGCCTGCATAATCATCCATGCATGAGAAAAAGAATCTTACCACCAATTAATGACTTACCGGCATCACATCTACTGCACTAGCTGCTTTAGAAACACAAACTATTTTTAAGAAAACCACTAATTTCAAATTTCATTAAGCAATGAAAAAATGGGGTGAGGTGAAACAAGATTCAGACATGCAAATGCAAATATCTTCACATCCAGAAATGGCACTAGACATACTGGAAACCTTGGAAAATGAGTCCATAGATGCGGACACATTCCCTCAGCACAGATATAAGGTTCATTTTCCCATAGACATCCCAGATTTTTCATAATTGCAGAAAAATGAAATTCAACCGAAATATGGGGCAATACTATTCACCCTAAGAAAATGACAGTTTAGGACCAATGATGTTTCTAGAAACTTACACATTAGGAAATGAGCCTTCGGGACCATAATAAGACCAGGCTAGGTTAGTAGAAAGATAACCTACCGAAGACATGCAAGTGGTCAGACATGGATACCACATTTAGCCTCAGGATAGACATTGACAACAGATAAAAAGATAAATAATATTAACAGTGATGACTAGAAGAAAAATTACTAAAAAGACTGTTTCCACATTACATTATTCACTAAGAGAGGCATAGATGATAGAACTAAGGAAAAATTACTTCTAGTTAGCAAATCAGGATATTTTCGTCCATGATCTTATTCAAGGTAAAACACAAGAAAAGGAAATTAATCTGATACTAACACAAAAATATCACAAAGAAGAATGACCATAAGAATGTACGGAACTCCCTGGTTCCAAATTCAAGCTTTTAACAAAGAAAGCCCCCATCTATCTTCTTTCATTTTTAAAGAAAAGTTTGTACATTGTAAATCTGGAAAACTATCAAGTAGTACAATCCAAAGTTTTAGAAATACCTTATGAGCATCAGCCATTCCAGCCTCTAGCAAATCTTCACGTGCAGCCTGATCAGCATCAGGTGATGTTAACCTTTTAAATTCCTTCTTCAACTTGTTCAAATCAGACTTGTATTCCCTCAGCTTAGCAAGCAGCGTTGCTTTCACACTTGCGTGCAAACTTCTTGCCTCAAGATCCATTTTTCGAATCTGAAGAGTGAAAGAGAGAGAACAATCAAATGCAACGGGAAGATCATGCAGTTAAAAAATGTGAAACAAAATTAAGAGTTATCTGAAGCTTGGTACCAGAACTTCCGCATCATCTAATCCAGCCTTGATCTCAACAATTTTTTGCTGCTTCTGGTCTGAAATTGGTGAATAGAAAACAATAATGCATTTAATGTCACATTGAATAAATATACATCTTAATGAAAGCATGTTCAAGAAAACATTTGCCAACCAGCTCCGTACTCAGAAATCCTATCTAGCACTCATCTTCAAGAATAACATAACATCCAACAAAAAAGAATAACAAACGATCCCATCATTTAAAGCAACCACCGAGTAACGTCAGACTGCCAAGAAGTATCGGCCAAATATTACACTAATTAATCAAGTCTCAACCAGTAAAAACCAATCATTGATTAGACACAGAATATACAGGAAAATTGCATAATCTCATGTAACAATACATATTAGTGAGCTTCTTTTCCTGACTCTATCGATTCTAAGGACATCAATCACAACAAATCTCAGACAGTAGCACCTTGAGCAACATTCCTAGGAATATCTTAAAGTAAGATTTGGGAATTTCAACTGCCAACCAAATTAGCAGGTTCACTTCATGCAGTGAAAGGTAAGCATGCTATTTGTAATTAGAAATACGGAGCTATAAATCTTGAAGTAGATCTTTATATAGATAAATCCCTTCAAAGCCAATCAGAGCAACGTTCGTGTCTTTTCTACCTTGGTCAGAAAGAAGAGACGCTGAGCTACATTTGCGAGACAGATTAGCGGAGAGATCACAGTATTGGCGCTCGTACCCCTCGAAGACCTCGCTCATATTGCAGGCACCGTTCTTTAGAGAATGAACAGACAAAATAGAAACACAAAAGATCGAAGAAGAAATCAGAGAACCGTTCACATAAGATTCATAAATCGATCATGGAAAGATTAGAAACCATGGATGTATGATTACTACCTCGATCTAGTGGGAAATTGAGCTCTGGAAGATCAAAACAAGACTCTTGAGTTTCTGGTGCTCAGACAAGAGATGGGTGGAAGACGATAAACGAAGAGACCGACCAGGAACTTCACTGAACGAACTGTAATTTCAACAAACGCAGGGAAACGTTGCGTGCAGTTCGGGCAGCCGGATTCCCTGGATAGATAGATATCCAAAATTCGATTTTTCCCCTTGGAAAGTTCGATTTTTTTAAGTCAAAATACCTTTGGAAAGATCGACAGAAAAACACCTTTCAAACAACCATATGACAAAAAAGACTCAAAAAGGGCTAATTTTAGGTTTTTTTTTTGACAAAAATTTTTGTTGTCAAATGACCATCTAGCAAGTAAAAAAATAATAATGACCATAAAGTCGTGAGAGATAAAATTATTGATAATTAAGTTTTTAGTAAGAATATAAATTAGAGATATAGAGTTAGTCTGAACTGGGATTTCTCTCTTTTGGTTCTATGCCTAAGAAGTTTATCATGAATTCCAACGTGAAACCAGAAATAGCCACCGGATCGGCCGATGGACTCCTTGCAACAAGGTAGTGGTAAGAAGAAAAAGCAGAACCTTCCTTCTAGGAACTTCACGATGGATGATCATATGGATAGTGAAGGGGAAGACGCTCAAATTGAAACTCAAGAATGTCTTGAGGGCAAGAGTGAGAATTTTTCAAAACAGTCCAAACAAAAGGTATCCTATCATGACTCCCTTCTTAGGTTTAATAGGGTAGTGATTTGCACTATGATCATAAGAGGAATATGACCTCTTTAAGGATATAGAACATATTCCATAGGATCTCCCAGAACCTATTAAAGAGACAAAAGAATTGATGAAAAAATACCTTGTGATGCCGGTTACAAATGACAAATTTCAAGATTGGTGCAGGCCTTGGAAGTATATAGTGACTATTACTATCTTAGGGAAAAGAATGAACCTTGTTACTATGAGGAGATGGTTAGCTAGAATCTAGAATATCCCTGAGTTTGACATAATTGATTTGCCTAACAATTATTTCACTATCCGCTTCTTAGATGGGGAAAATTGGAAAGCACAGTATCGGAAAGTGCTCTTTGAGGGCCCTTGGATGATACAACACCATCATGTCATTGTTCAACATTTGGACCCCTTCCTTGATGCCCAAAATAATGCTCTTGGAAGGGTGGCAATTTGGGTAAGAATTCCAAATGTGAACATGCACTACTATAACAAAAACTTTGTTTGGGGATTGGAAGATTGAATAGGGAGAACCTTGAAGGTAGATCTTAATACCTTACGTGAGGTAGGAATAGGGGAGAATAAAAGAGATAAGATTGGACGAGGAAAACTTGCCAGGGTCTATGTTGAAATTGACCTTAAAAAAAAATTGGTTCCTAAAGTTATCTTTAATAATACAATTTACAAAGTGAAATATGAAGGGATTAGGCTCATTTGTTTTTGGGTACAAAAGATACAAGCATTATCGAGAAGATTTCCTATGGAAACGTGAATGGAATGCTTGAAATGAACAAAACTCATGGTTCAACAGCACAAAAGTGCCCAATGCCGGAGAAGAAAGTCATCTTGCCAGAAAAGGAGGAGATTTTTGGGACCTGAATGATGACGCCAAACCAATACAAGCCTATTTTTAGAGACTGAGAGATAGTAGATGTGACTTGTCACATACTACCAGAGGAAGATATAGAGAGGATCAAAGAGAGATGGGAGGGATCACACAATCTCAATTTTCTGCCCTTACAGATATAGATGAAGACAGCCAAGGTCTGGAAATTGTCAACTTTATCACTGATATGTGTACTGTCTCTCTTACTTAACCACATTAAACTCCATAATCAAGGTAATCAAGGGATTAACCCTTAAAAGATTACCAAGGTTGTAAAATTTTATAAATGATAACAATTTTCAAAACATATATATAATGGATCCCAAAACTCAATTTTCATACTTAATCACACACTTAAAATATTCAAATCAGAGTTTGAAAACAATGCGGAAAGTTAGAAACAAATGGGACAAAAAATAATGAGTTTTAAAACATAAAAATGGATTTTGTATAGAAAACGACACATGTGCTGTAGCTTGTGACATATGCACTGTGGCTCATCCTTTTCTGTGCCATGCGTCGTGGTGCATTGCACAAATTTGACAAATATCAGTTGTCAAGATGACAACACAAGAAGCAAACTTCTGACAAGTCCCAAATTTCCATTCAAAGTTTGATTAAGGTGGTTTTAGTATCTACACAAAGCTTTTTCCTAACTCTAACTAATGGCGCCAGTTTCACACTCAAATTCTTTTTTTTTATAAAAAGTTAGACACCAAAACCTATTTTACCTCTTTTTTATAAAAATCTCATAACTTTGGTGTCCCAACTCAACCACAAGTTCTATAAGCCTACACCAACCATCTAACCACACTCAATAGACTCTAGCAGACCTATGCAACACACAACATATAATCAAAAACACATAGATTATAAAATTACCACTCAACCTTAATTTTCACGAAATACAAGGGGGAGGAAAATGTGGCACAAATTCATCATTTTCATTCCAAATTTTTTAAAATACACATGTTCCTACTTGCACAAGTATTTTAGCCCTACCCACAGGTTTACAACCACAACTCATTAACTTAAGGTATAAATTACACAAGTTGTATACTATAGTAATGCAAGTAGTACAAAAACAATAACATGTGATCCTAGTTAATAATTACACAACATTAATACACAAAACAAAATAAAGAGGCATGAAAGTAGGATTTCACCACAATCTTATGCCTTAGAGTGCTTTTTCTTGACTTTGATCTGATGAGCTAGGCCCTGAAATATTGATAATTAAAGGGTGATTACAACCACTTTGTAACCAAATTTCACCTAATCTATACAGTTACATATCAATTGTAAATAGATGCAAATAGGAAAACACATATATAACACATATGAAGTACTTGGCCACGGTTTACAAAACTAACAACTATATGACCGAGCCCAAGACTCACATAATCATGATATATTGCAAAGCACAATACGGGGTTGCAATATTAACAACCATGTGCCCTTAACTTGTATCAGACCATAATACTAACAACTATATGGCTAGATTCATATGCATAATTAAATGCCAACCTTATACCCTCCTGTTTCCTCTGACATGAAACCGGTGGCTATCATATGGCTATGTTTTTCACAGACTAACCCAACCTTTTACTTGTGAGGAGTTATTGAGTTAGGATTAATTCACTCACTTATGTAATCTAGTTTCCCCTAATACTAACAACCATGGGGTATCGTATCCCTAATCTAGCCTCCTTATGAATCGGTAGAGACTAGTTAGGTTTGAGTCCTTTATAGAATAAGTAAGATAGTCTTGAATCAATGATTAGAAAAGGACTACCTCTCGGTTCCAATGGTCAGTGCCAAGGTAAGTTCTCGATTCCAACGGTCACTGCCAATGCCACATAGATTTAAATCAATCTACTCTTCTCATTTGGTGAACTCCTGTCAATGATCATGCTATGCACACTATCACATATTTATGTAACTCAATCACAAATCATATCATAGCTCACTTTACTTTTCTCACTCACTTAATCATTACACACTACATATGACAATAGCACATTATTTTGAAAACTTCATCATTATTCACACACACACACACATGTATGATCGCACATAGCATTTTCACATTCACATCAATAGCGTGCCAAATTTTCATTAAGGGTTTAAAATATAAATCATATCTCAAATAAACTAATTTTCAATAAATAATCAATTAATATTCAACTATATAGAATTAGGTTTTCCCTGATTACCTTAAACCTTTAAGAGGTTAAAGGTTTACCACTCATACAAAACACTTCCAAAGCTTCTTCTAAGCTTGAATGGTGGAAAATAAACCATACTACATTCATAAGCAATTAATACCATCATTACCTCATTTTTGAGGATTTACCAACATAAATCTCCACACAATCTATTCTACCAGTCTATAAATCACTAACCATTTATATCCAATGGGTCCACTAAGTTCTGTTAACATATATTATCATTAATAACTCTTTAAACCATCATTAATGGACATAAACCTCTCCTAACTACCTCATTTATGTCAATTTTTTGATATATATTACTTTTGTTAACCAACCACTTCTATAAACATTCATGTAATGTTTCCAATACCTTAAACAACTCTCATTATACCCATTTTAATTAATGAAAATGGATCTATACTTTTGTGGATCAAAAATAACCTTTTCAACTCAAACTTTATCATAAATCTCCATAAATGAGGGAGAGAAAGTAAGAAGAAGGCTTAATTACTTACCTTAGGTATTGGAAAGCTTCAACCTATCCTCAAGGGTTTCAATGTTCATGCCCTAGCAGAACTCAATCGTGTTCGTCGTGTCTTACTTCTCCTTCTCTTTGTTTTCTCGCATAGAATGTGAATTAATTTATCAAGATTTTGGCCATGCACTATAGAGCATGATGCCCTCTGCCATCGCGCATGGCACAAAGAGGCTCGTTGCATTTAAATTTGCCCCTGTTCACTGTGGTAGATTGACCACACGTCGCGACATGTGGCATAGAGGGCAAACCTTCACTTTTTCTTCCTCTTTCCTTGCCCAGATGGCTTGCCATCGATTCAGAAGTACTTCTAGGGCTAAAATCACAATAATTACACTAAATTAGGTCCCCTTGGCCATATACCTCATTATCTCACTAATCACACTCATTAAGTTGATAAATTAAGATTAAATTTTCCTAGATTACAATATGCCAACTACTTCTCAATTGGATAATGACATTAAGAATCCTTAAGACACTCAAACAAGTACAGAAGCAAAAGGCACATGTCGCCTGCTGTGGCAAATTCATTAACTAAGTTAAAGGGTTTGTCTAATGGACAACAAGGTTAGGGCCAATGCAAGGAAAATTGGAAGCCTGAGAATAAAGGGAAAATTGACTTAGAAAAAAAATAAAAGTGGATTGGCCACTCCAAAAAAGTCTAGGCCTAGACCAACTACTTTAGCTAAAATGCCAATGACGAACTAGAGAGTCCATTCGATAGAGTCGGTAATTCGAGCGGACTATTTAGGTTAGGCTCAATTTAAGCCTGGCTTATTTA